GGTCCGAGAATCAGCATGTTTTTACATGAGCAGAATGTGTCCTGTTATTTAAAATGCACCTCTGGGTTATTTGTGGGGCATAGGAATTTGTTCATTTCCCCCCCAAAAAAAAACATAGTCTGGACCCTCACAAGGTCTGGGGGACAGTAGAGTGACCCCCTGCTCAAAAAGTTTGCTGACCCCTGGCCTAGGTGATGCCCCACAAGGCCACTCCCATCTCCGATGGCTCCAAAGGTCTGCTGCTCTCAGGATACCTGGCAACAGTAGTTTGGTGACATAATGTTTCCAACTCTCTCTCTTTTTAATTTAAAAAATAAAAAAATTCGACTGTCTCCCAGCCAGAAGCTCCTTGCTGCCATCTGCCAGAGAGCTCCGTTTCTCAAAGCAAATAGCTTATTACCAACATGCACAAAAGGGGGTTTATTTCAGGCAATTAAATAACAACCGAAAAAATTATACAGCTGTGGGCTTCAGAATATGTTTAATTAAGTGGCTCCCCCCCCCCATAAATGGAAAAATCTGGCTGGAACGATATAGGAATAAGCCAGGCTTGCAGCAGCCGGCTCGGAAAAGTTTGCAAGCAATCGAGGTGTGTTTTCTTCTCCTGCCACTAACAGAATTGCCGCTGTTCTGTAACATTTATGTGGAGTCAGCTGGGAATGCGCTGGGCTCAGCCTCCACCCACCTGCGGCACTGCGATTTCATTATTCATGTCATAAAAATGTATACGCCACTTGATTGTTAAGAAAAACCTCAAAGCGGTTTACAAAAAGATAAAACAACTGAACCAAGAAAAGACTTTTCAATTCTACTTTAAAACATGCAAAAGTCAAAACGCTAAAGCAGATGAAAATTGCCTCCGTTTTCTAAGCACCTGGGCTTACCTTGGCAAGAATGTTTCCAGTGGGCGCCAGAAAGAATTGCCTGCTTGCTCTCAATAGGCAGGGAGTTCCGAAGTGTGGGAACTGCCACACGAAACGCTCAAATTCTTGCGAGGGGTGGGTGGGCATTGCGTGCCTGGTTTTAATCTCATCGTTATTCTTTCTTCCATTTCTTGTATAGGATTTTATTGCATTGCGATTTGAACTCCGCGGAATATAAAATAATAATAAGTAAAGGTGAAAGTTAAAAAGGAACCCAATGGGTAAAAAAATGAACCAAGAGTCTGGAAACCAAGCCTGATGAGGAACGATTGAAGGAGCTGAGTATGTTTAGGCTGGAAAAGAGGAGACTGGGGTGAGATAGGAGAGCCATCTTGAAATATCTTATGAGCTGACACATGGGAGATGGAGCAAGCTTGTTTTCTCCTGCTTTGCAGGGTAGGACTCGAACCCATGGCTTCAAGTTACAAGAAAGGAGATTCCACGAAACTTTCTGACAGTAAGAGCTGTCCAACAGTGAAAGAGTCTCCCGTGGAGGTTTTTCAACCAAGTTTGGATAGCCATTTGTCATGGATGCCTTTAGCTGAGATTCCTGCATTGCAGGGGGTTGGACTAGATGACCTTGTGGATCCCTACACTTTACAATCTATGATGTCCGAGAGGGCACCAAATGTATAAGGCCTGAACGATGCCTTATGAGACGCTAAGGGACTGGCATGTAGCCTGGAGAAGGGAGGTTAGTAGATACATTCAAATATTATAAGATGTCCATGAGAGGGAGAAGGCTGTTTTCTGCTGTCCAGAAGCGACACGGAGCAATGGATCCAAACTACAAGAAAGAAGATTCCACCTAAACATTAGGAAGAAACTTCCTGACAGTAAGAGCTGTTCGACAGTGGAATTTGCTGCCAAGGAGTGTGGTGGAGTCTCCTTCTTTGGAGGTCTTTAAGCAGAGGCTTGACAACCATATGTCAGGAGTGCTCTGATGGTGTTTCCTGCTTGGCAGGGGGTTGGACTCGATGGCCCTTGTGGTCTCTTCCAACTCTATGATTCTATGATTCTATGATTATTTGATACACTGTGCCCACTCTTCTTCACAGACACACTGTAGACCACCTAAACAAAGCTCATGGATCATTGCTGGGCCTCGGACCACAGTTTGGGGGACCTTAGCTGTAGATCGCATTACACCAAAAAAAATATGGAGGCTACAAGTTTTGAGTGAATAAAACTGTTTCCTAAAAAGCATTCCACACTCATCCCAGAATAGAAAATATGTCGTAGGCATGTGTTGTGTGGTTTTTTTCATGTTCCCTGTCTGGGAACCTTCCCTTAAGGTGTCCAAGTACAGAGGCTCACACCAAATTTCCAACCAGTCATACAGCAATGCAATACTGGACATCGACTCTGTGAGAGCATTTCCATTAAGACGCAGACTGTAGAGGCAAAAGATATATCACCTCGAAGCAATCTCTTATGCAACCACAGTCCTTGAAATACAACTTTAAAAAAGGTAAAGGTAAAGGACCCCTGAAAGTTAAGTCTAGTCGCAGACGACTCTGGGGTTGCGGTGCTCATCTTGCTTTACTAGCCGACGGAGCCAGCGTCCAGCTTCCGGGTCATGTGGCCAGCATGACTAAGCCGCTTCTGGCGAACCAGAGCAGCGCACGGAAACGCCGTTTACCTTCCCGCCAGAGCGGTACCTATTTATCTACTTGCACTTGACATGCTTTCAAACTGCTAGGTTGGCAGGAGCGGGGACCGAGCATTGGGAGCTCACCCCGTCGCGGGGATTCGAACCGCCGACCTTCCAATCAGCAAGTCCTAGGCTCTGTGGTTTAGACCCACGAAATACAACTTACTCAACCCATTTCACTGTCCTTGCCAGAACCCTCCCTGTACCTTATTGCATTCTGGCGTTTCTGACACTGACAAGACCGAAATTCCATGTCATCCTTTTTCATTCTTCATCCTGCAACATTATCTATTGTTCCCCAGAAACAGCATAAAGCCCGTCCTCCTCCAACGCCAGCTCCATGCATTTTCTCTCCCAAAATACGGTGCGAAAACAGATCACAATATCACAATGGAGGCGGGGACAGGGTAATTACAAATGTCCGGTGACACCTGTCAGAGCAGCTCCCTAACGCAGCGCGATATATTTTTCTCCGAATTCCATTTAGCAGCAAGGGGAGCGTTAAATCTGTAATTTCACACGAAAGGCCTTGATCATATCCAAATATCGTGTTTGAACAGGGTTTCTAAATTGCCCTCTCAAGCTGCTACATTTGTTCAGCAAAGGTCACCTGGTGGCGGAGACGTCTCATTTCTCTGGATTTAACAAAGTCAGAAATTAATCTGTCAACCAAGTTAGAACGGGAGAGGGCTGGAAATAATAGTAATATAAAACACGCACACGCAAACACACAAAGGGGAGAAAGGGCGAATGCACAAGCCTTCAATCTCGCAGCAAATGCAGCTCCTGAGGGATGCCAGCAATTGGTATTCAGAAGTACAGTATTGCTGCCTCCAGTTTGGTGTTGTGGTTACAGCACCAAACTGGAACCTGGGAGAGACTTCCCAGAGGCTTCGAATCCCAACTCAGCCATGCAGCTCACTGGGTGACCTTGAGGCAGTCACTGCCCCTCAGCCTAACCTCCTTCGCAGGCTTGTTGTATTAACTTCTTCTTCTTTGGTGATCCCTCGTAGCCGAGTAAGATTGTCTTCCATAAACAGGGTTTTAACAGTGAGTCCATAAGTGACTGTGGAGGCCAATTCTGGATCCACATGTCCTTCCACAGTGGGAACATTGTTTTCCAGGCAGGAGTTGATCACGGTGTGGATTTGCCAAGTGTGCCTTCCTCTTAGCACATTTCTCCCTTGCGTCCTGAGTTCGAGTGTCTTTAAAGCCCAGGACACCTTTGGTCAAGGCTGTTCTCCAATTGGAGCACTCGCAGGCCAGTGTTTCCCAATTGTTGGTGTTTATACTACATTTTTTTAGATTTGCCTTGAGAGAGTCTGTAAACCTCTTTTGTTGACCACCAGCATTACGCTTTCCATTTTTAAGTTCGGAATAGTTGCTTTGGAAGATGATAATCAGGCATCTGGACAGCATAACTTACCTCGCAGGGTTGTTGTAGGGTATTAACTGAGGATAGGACAGATCCTGAAGCTGAGGCTCCAAGACTTTGGCCACCTCATGAGAAGAGAAGACTCCCTGGAAAAGACCCTGATGTTGGGAAAGATGGAGGGCACAAGGAGAAGGGGACGACAGAGGACGAGATGGTGGGACAGTGTTCTCGAAGCTACCAGCATGAGTTTGACCAAACTGTGGGAGGCAGTGGAAGACAGGAGGGCCTGGCGTGCTCTGGTCCAGGGGGTCACGAAGAGTCGGACACGACTAAACGACTAAACAACAACAATTAACTGAGGAACAGGAGAGCCAGCTGTGCCACCTTGAACTCCTTGGAGGCTATGAATGCAATGAAGAGATAAACAGTGGAGGCAGAGTATAGCCCTCTCCTCCTCCAGGACTTTGTCTAATCTTCTTTTAAAGCCATCCAAGTTGGTGGTCATCACTGCAGGAGTTGGTGGGAGGGAGTTCCATAGTTTAACAATGTGTTGTGTGAAGAAGTTCATTCATTTCCCAGTCCCAAATCCTCCATCATTCAGCTTCATTGGACGCCCACAAGTACTGGTGTCACTAATATTTATTTATTTATTTATTTATTATTTATTATTATTATTATTATTATTATTATTATTATTATTATTATTATTATCCCGCCCTACACCCGCAGGTCTCAGGGCAGTTCACAAGATAAAATCACAATATAAAAATGCAAAATACATAATCAAAAGAAAAAGACAAACAAGAGAAGGTGGAAAACTTTCCTCTCTCTCCCCCCTTCCTCCGCTCTGTGCTTTCCCCAAAAGTGTGGCCCGGTCGTTTTATGAGATAGTAATGGCAGAAGTGTAGAAATTATTTTGTTTTTAGAGTCTGTATCTTTTGTGTTTTATCTCGTTTTATCTTACCGTATGCCACTTTGATGGCTCCTGGCTGTGAAGCAGTTTATGAATCTGTAAAATAAATAATAAAGCGCGACGAGAGACGAGGCCTTCAGAATTAAATTATTTTAATGTCAAACCCTTTGCAGAACAATACCGATCAGCATGCGTGGAGTTCAGAAGCTGAAACTGACGGGAACCGAGTCGGGTTTCTGAGGAGAGACATGGAGGGGAAGAACAGAGCCTTGGTTCATCACAGACCCTTCTCCATTTCCCATCGCTCTCAGTTTTCCTTTCTGGTGCTGAGAAATGTAGGATTCCCCCCTTTCAGTGCCTGGAAAAGTACTACAGCTTTAAGCTGTAGCAGCCTATTCCAGCCTCCAGAGGTTTATGCCCCATTCACACCATCCATCCAAAGCATCATATCACGACTGCCCCCGAATAATTCTGGGAGCTGTAGTTTCCTAAGCGCGCTGGGAATTGTTAGGCAACGCCCTAGCCCCCTCCCAGTGCTACAATTCCCAGAGTAACCAATGGAGAGAGATTAGTGGTTAAACCACTCAGGGAATTGTAGCTCTGGGAGGGGAACAGGAAGGTCTCCAAACTCTTCTCAGCAATCTTAACAAACTACACCTCCCACGATTCTCTGGGGGAAGCCAGGGCTGCTTGCAGTGATATTGTGGGGCTTTAAATGGGTGGTTTAAATGGGGTCTTAGGCAACAGTGAAAAGCAGTTACTGGAAAACCAGTTACTAAAGCACTGCTCCACAGCAAGCGTTCCATGTGGCTCAAACAAGCAGCCTCCGTGGGAAAGGGCGACCACTAAGCGATACAACTATCAAATGAAACATCGTCAACTTTAATATATTAAATATGTGAACTTTTTCATTGACATTCTTTAAGTCAACCATAAGATTCTCCCAGCTCTCTGAAGAAGTGCTGTCTCTCCAGCCTTAACAGAACCATCACAGTGCATGTGCTTCAAAGAAGCACCATTTAAACCTCGCTCTCCAGATCCCGAATCGTGAAAAGTGGCAGAAAACGGATTTGCCTGAAAACAAACGGACAGACTTTGGGGGAACGTCAGGGTTCGTTTGGGACTTGATGAGTTCAGGGTCCACGCCTTCCAAGTTATGGCATCGACGTATCCCTTGCAGGGAATATCTCTTGCCCTCCAGATCCTGTTAGACCAACATCCCATTGACCACAAGCGCCCCACCCCTGCCTTCGATATTTGAGGAGTTTCTGGTTTCATGTTTGGTTGTGAATGACTCCTGGCAGATACTCAGGCCCAGAGTAGTTTACCCAAAACACTGACACGGGGAGGGGGGCTTAAAGTGACCAGCATTTGTGTGAGAGAGATTTGCACAGAAAGCTATGGGTCACCAGTTTTCAGAAGGAATTAAATAACCCATAATTGGCTTTTGGGAGGAAGCGTTTCCAAGGAATGACAACGTACAGTGTTGGGTAGATTGCCATGGTTTCTAAGGTTACCTGAGGATGCCCGGCACTTGTTGCTGTTTCTCCCAACCCATCCTCCCTAAAAAATAAAAATAAAAGGTACATGCTTCGAGAGTCCAACTTTCATTGTTTCAGCCCAGTTCCTGAAACTTATCAGTTGCTACTCCACACTTGCTTGTCTTCAGCCTCGGAAACTGGTTCAGCGTTTCAACCAGTGATGTGCCAACGTGTTGTTTCCAGGGGAGCAGGGCTCATGATCGCCATTTCCACAGGGATGCATGGGAACCGAAGTTTCCCATGCATCCTGTGCCAAAGAATTTTTAATTCCGGGATCCATGGGAAACTACAATTCCCATGGATCCCAGTGGCAACGGATGCTCCAAAGGATGCCACGAAGCACCCAGGCCTTAAGGAGCTGGTCTGCAAGACACAAAGAGGGTAGCAAGGGCTAGCGAGAGAGCTTTCCCAGGGGCACCAATATTCCAACATGAGCTGGGGGAGCCCATTCCTCAATTCTTCTAAGGCCCTGGGCTTTGCTTGCTGAGGCCTTTATGAGAAGCCAGCCACATCTCCTGATCCCTTGGCATTACAGAATATAGTCACCAATAAAAGTGCATGCGACAGACTAAAATGACGGACGTGAAAATGAGGAGAGGCGAGCTGCAGGGGCGCATAGCCCTGTCGGTATGGAAGATGTGGAGTTTCTTGACATCCGGGTGGTACGCTTCGCCGTCTTCCAGCGCCCCACGGGCAGCCAGAATGAAGCTGGCATCCCCCGAAGTCGCCACGTCAAAGACACAAGCCTGGAAGTAGACATCCTCGACGGGCAGCTTCTCCTTGCACAGCAGACGGGCCTTCTCGAGGGCACCGCTGCCGTCAACCTTGCTTCGAGAGATGCGCTGGCTGGGCGGGCAACCTCCCACGCAGAGCTGCAAATCTTGCTCGTCTGTGAAGGAGAGAGCCACCTCCTCGGCCGCCCGGATGGAGAAGGACAGCTGCCTGCCCGCCTGGCGCACAGCAATTGTGGTGCCAACGTGCGCTGCTCGGATCTCCACATGCCGCCCTGGCGTGCGCTCGTAGATGACCAGGCTGCTCCCCCCGGGCCTCGCTCCACCATTCATGGAACCATCCACAAAAGACACTGGCAGGTTGTCTATTTCCGCTTGGTAGACCTTCTCGTCGATGCACTCCTTCATGTTCTTAAAAATGACGGTGAGCTGAAAAGAACAGAGATCTTAAAAGCTTAAAGGTAAAGGGACCCCAGACCTGACCATTAGGTCCAGTCGTGGCCGACTCTGGGATTGCGGCGCTCATCTCGCTTTATTGGCAAAAGGGAAACCCCAGGCATCTGAGGACCCTCGAGACCTGTTTATTCTGAGGAAGGATGCAGGACTGCTGTCCACCAGAAGGTATTGGAGAAGCAAAAGCAGGAAGAAATTGGCTTCTGGGTGCAAGCCCATCCTTGCCTCACAGTTGCTCACTACTGGGCATGTTTAGCCTGGAGAAGAGGAGGTTAAGGGGTGATATGATAGCCATGTTCAAATATATAAAAGGATGTCATATAGAGGAGGGAGAAAGCTTGTTTTCTGCTGCTCCAGAGAAGCGGACACGGAGCAATGGATCCAAACTACAAGAAAGAAGATTCCACCTAAACATTAGGAAGAACTTCCTGACAGTAAGAGCTGTTTGACAGTGGAATTTGCTGCCAAGGAGTGTGGTGGAGTCTCTTTCTTTGGAGGTCTTTAAGCAGAGACTTGACAACCAAATGTCAGGAGTGCTCTGATGGTGTTTCCTGCTTGGCAGGGGGTTGGACTCGACGGCCCTTGTGGTCTATTCCAACTCTATGATTCTATGATTCTACTTTTCCAGATCCCTCTATTATCAGAAGGAGGCCAGATAGTGCCTTGCCTTCTTCAAATTTACTGGCTTGTCTTCAGAGCTTTAACCAGATCTGTGCCCAAATTTTGTTTTGGGGGAAAGCAGGGCTTGTAATCAACAGCATCACGGGGATCCATGGGAGCTTCGGTTTCCAATGGCTCCTGTGCCAACTGTTTGACCTGGGAAGCATGGGAAATCACGCTTCCCGTGGATCCCAGTGTGCTCCTGCAGGTGGGAAACTTGCTGTCCTCCAGTTGTTGCTGGACCACAACTACCAACATCCCTGACCATAGGCTATGCTGGCTGTTGGGGTGGTTGGGAAATGGTGTTCAGCAGCAGCTGTAGGGCCATTGGTTAGCCACTCCTGCTACAGGTGATTTCCAGTCTGATTCAAGCCTGTGAATTAAGGTGGAAGTATGTCGGGCTACCTTTGAAGGTGACTCAGAAACTACAACTAATCCAGAAGGTCGCAGCTAGGCTGGTGACTGGGAGCAGCTGCTGGGACCACATAACACCGGTCTTGAAAGACCTACATTGGCTCCCAGTACGTTTCCAAGCATAATTCAAAGTGTTGGTTCTGACCTTTAAAGCCCTAAACGGCCTCAGTCCAGTATACCTGAAGGAGCGTCTCCACCCCCATCACTCAGTCTGGACACTGAGGTCCAGCTCTGAGGGCCTTCTGGAGGTTTCCTCACTGGGAGATGTGAGGTTACAGGGAACCAGGCAGAGGGCCTTCTCAGTAGTGATGCCAACCTAGTAGAAAGCTTTCCCAACAGATGTCAATTAATAATAATAATACACTCATACCTCATGTTACATTCTTTCAGGTTATGTCCCACGGTGACCCAGAAGTACTGGAAAGGGTTACTTCCAGGTTTCGCCACATGCGCATGCACAGAAACGCAAAATGATGTCACGCGCATGTGCAGAAGTGGCAAATCGCAACCCGCACATGCACAGACGTGCTGCTGCGGGTTGCGCTCTTTTCATGTTGTGAATGGGCCTCCGGAATGGATCCTGTTCGCAACCAGAGGTACCAGTGTAGTAATAATAATAATAATAATAATAATAATAATAATAATTGTTGTTGTTGTTGTTGTTGTTGTTGTTATTATTATTTATTATTTATACCCGGCCCATCTACACAACTTTCTGAAGACAGTCCTGTATTGGGAAGTTTTTAATGTCCAGTGCTGCTGTGCTGTGCTGTGTTGTGTTGTATATACCCTACCCATCTGGCTGGGCCTCCGCAGCCACTTTGGGCGGCTTCCAACAGATTAAAAACACAATAAAACATCAAATAGAAAAAACTTCCCTAAACAGGGCTGCCTTCAGATTCTGTTGGAAGCCACCCAGACATTTATCATTATTATTATTATTATTATTATTATTATTAGGGACCCAACATGCTGCCCTCCAGAGATATTGTGGGACTACAGCGCCCTCTTGAACCGCCAGCACAAGCCAATCAAAAAGCTGAAGAGCAGTTTTTCGAAGGACCCGTTGTTACCTTGCTGATGGCAGTGGCGTTTGACCCTTTCACGACGGGAGAGCTGGTGGCCTGCACATACAGGTAGTTGTTGTCCAGGAGCGGCCAGGAACCCTCCACCTGACAGGTGTGGAACTGGTCCCTGAAGGTGCGTACATGGGGGTCCCCGAAGGCGGCGCAGTGCTGGTACGCAGGGGGTCGCCCATGCTTGCGGGCAAAGCTCTTCTCGTAGTCGCAGATGTCCAGGGAGGTGAAGCCCTGGTGATCGGGGGGCGGCTGGGGCGGCTGGGGCAGGGAAGTGGGTCCCTCCCTGGAGCAGTTGTTCTGGATCATGAGGTCTTCGATGCCGTACACAGCAGAGTGGTACGCCAGGTTCCCGCGGCAGGTGCGGGCCGTGCGGCGCGTGCAGCTGGAGTAGGCGCGCAAAGCGTCGCAGCGAGCGCCCGTCGCGTCCGAGTCGTCCAGGTTCTCCGTGGCGGCCAGATACTGGGAGTTGCAGCGCAAGATCTTGCACTGCGAGTCAGCTGCACGATGGGGGGTAGGGGAGGGAAGAAAATCAGTGCCACATCATCACAACCAAAACAACAAACAAACAAACAAACCTATGGTCACGTAAAGCATGCTCAATATACACGAGACGTAATCGGCTGTGTTCTTAGATAAATAAGGTATACTATTCATGTAAGGTCCATATAGTTAAAGCTATGGTTTCCCCAGTAGTGATGTATGGAAGTGAAAGCTGGACTATAAAGAAGGCTGATCGCCAAAGAATTGATGCTTTTGAATTCTGGTGCTGGAGGAGACTCTTGAGAGTCCCATGGACTGCAAGAAGATCCAACCTCTCCATTCTGAAGGAAATCAGCCCTGAGTGCTCACTGGAAGGACAGATACTGAAGCTGAGGCTCCAAGACTTTGGCCACCTCATGAGAAGAGAAGACTCCCTGGAAAAGACCCTGATGCTGGGGAAAATGGAGGGCACAAGGAGAAGGGGACAACAGAGGACGAGATGGTGGGACAGTGTTCTTGAAGCTACCAGCATGAGTCTGACCAAACTGCAGGAGGCAGTGGAAGACAGGAGGGCCTGGCATGCTCTGGTCCAGGGGGTCACGAAGAGGCGGACACGACTAAACGACAACAACAATTCATGTATCAAATCATGAATTTCAATGGAAGCGATTCATAAAGTTCAACCATCGAACAAAGTAGAAGACCCAATGGATCAGATCATTCTCTAGTCAGTTCATGCATAAGGTCCATCTGCGTATTAGTGTCTATTCCACCTGACTCTTCATAAGGTCCAAATAATCCACATGAAAGCTTGTTACAGTTCCACAGAATCCTTTCACAGAGTCTAAGACAGGGATTTCCGGCATAAGATCCACTGTCATGTAATATCACATATGAGCTTTAACTACTGATGAAGCCCAGGACAGCGAAACAAGGCCAATATTCCAGAAATTTCGTGTGGATTGTTAATTTGGATACGCAGAAGATATTAAAAATAAATTTAAGGAACCGCAGAAAGAGGGGGAAGGAAGTGAAGTTTTGAAATGTCAAAATGATTGTAAAATCAGTGAAATGTATAAATCTGAAAAGTATAAATAAATAAATAAAACAATCTCCTCCCCAAGGATAGGCTCTCCCTCTTCAGTCACAGAATTGTATTCTACATCTATGAAACACGAAATGACATCTGAAGGCAGCCCTTTTTAGAGAATATTTTGCTGGAAACCACCCAGAGTGGCTGGGGAAACCCAGCCAGATGGGTGGGGCATAAATAATAAATTTTATTATTATTATTATTATTATTATTATTATTATTATTATTAAGCATTGAAATACGGCAATGGTTCGGCCTGAGGTTGGATGGGTGATCTCTGGGCATGCACATTCTTTCACCATTAAGCAGCTGTAGCCCACCACCAAACTTCTGGGATTGAGAAGTGGGGAACGAGGCAAATGTTGAGGCAACACTGACATTTGCAGTGGCTGCGCTTTCAAGACGGCATTTTTAGGCACACTTGCTCAGAGGACCTTGCGTCCGAGTAGACCTGCTTACAATTGTGATGCACATGACTGAGGATTTTAAAGATCTGATGAAGAGCTGACCATCAGCAGCCTTCCATACTCTGCCACTACAAAGAGGCCCTCCCAAGCCAAGCCCCTTCCTTCCTTCCTTCCTTCCTTCCTTCCTTCCTTCCCATGCCCACCAAAGCTGCAACTTTCTCTGACGAATGACCCAAGCGCCAAGCCCCTTACCGTGTCTGCAGAACAGGAGGAGGATGAACACCTTAATGACGGCGCCAGCATTTGCTGGGTGCGGAGGCCTCTGGCAGCAGGCAGATCCCTGCATCCTGATCCATTCACAGATGACGCACGAGGGTCACCCAAACCTCTCCTCACCGTTCTCCTCCCATGCTGATTCACTGGAAGGAAAGAACAGTCAAGAGATCTACAGCCCATAAATTGGCAAGGTCCCATCCTGCGGGTACTCTGCGCTCCTGCATGCATGGTCCAGATCCCACTGACTCTTTTCCCTTTAAACAATAACCCAAAAAACCAAGTCACTTGTTGTCACAGTGAATGTTGCTTCCCCCCACCCCACAAAGTTTTGTGACAATAGTTTCTGACGTCTTGGAAACTAAGAGCTCTGATCCCCTCAGAACGTACAGGAAGAGCCTTCTGGATCACGCAGCATCCTGTTCTCACATATCCAGCTACCTGGGAGTAGGTTCACTGGGGCTTCCTTGAAATTTGGACCATGCTGTAAATCTCGTCCAGTCAGACCTCTATGAAGGCAGGGCTTAACTGGGAACTATCTTTGCTGGGCTGTTTCCCAGAAAAGCACTGGGGAAAAATTGAGTCCTTTGCTTCCCAGGGGAGCACAAGACCCCCTTCAGTTCACTGGAGGTTTTCAGACAGAGGTTGCGTGTCCACCTGTCAGAGATACTTTACCTGCAATTCCTGTATTGCAGGGGGTTGGACCAAATATCCCTCAGGGTCCCTTGAAGCTCTATGATTCATAATCCTATGGGCCCTTTTTGGTGACCCAAGGCACAGCCCCAAACCTTCTGAAGTGGGGGGTTCCCTTTGGAAGACGACTCCACCATCAGCCCCTGTCACACCTCTAACATCCATCGGAGAAGACAGCGGACCAGCCAGGTGACCGGTGACCCAATTCAGGCTGGCCAACTCCCATCACCGCTGCAATAACACTTGTCCCCTCCATTTTCCCCAGCACGTCCATCTCATTACTCCCTGCTCCGTCGTCCTTTGGCTTCCTTGCCCCAGGGTGGACCAACCATCAGCAAGAAAGACCTTCCTCTCTTGGCTTTCGCCTCTCGAGAAGGCCTTTCCCTCTCTTCTCAGGCTCCGTCGCCGACTTTGTGCTAAGCTGCACATGTCCCCATCCTGCTGGGCCACACATATCGGTGTGACCTTTTGCAAAAGTCGGCAAACAACGGCACACAAACTTTGTCCCTGCTTCCGGACCCGCAGCGGGAGCTAATGATCAACCAGTCGATCGCCCAAGGCACCCTCTGCACCACTCGGCCTGGGAGCCAAAGATGGCCGATGATTAGATAAAGGCTTTGGCTGGGAAGTTGGGAATGGCCACTTCCGGATCGAGGTAGCTTGACCACAGTCGGCCATGCATTCATACAGTTGCATTACTGCAATGCGCTCTGCATGGGGCAACCCTGGAGGCTGCAGCCAGGGGGCATTGCGTGGCAGGAAGGTTGCTTGTGGGCACAAACTACTGCCAGCATAAAACAGCTTGCTTTCAGGACTCGCACACGCTACCAGTCTACTCCCAGGCCAACACTCTTACCGCCATGCCGGGCCATAATATAATTTTGATTTTCATTGGGAGCATTGTTGAAGGGAAGCGTTAATAATATCACTCCCTTTCCCCACCAACAAGTCCTGAATGCAAATTCCCTTGCTCTTCAATGGCGGGGGAATGGATGCAAATGTGACTCTAAGTGGGCATAGCCCAGGGGGGGCAGCTGCCCCCTCAAATCGAGAAATTAAGTAAAAATACTTAACTAGAAGCAGACATGGAAGGAAGATTTGGGCAATTTCTCTGAGCGCTCAGGGTCAAAAGAAAGCAACTGTTGTTGAGACGTTTCATTCTGAATCTGCTAGACAGAGCCGGACAGAGGATGTCTTGGCCCCCTCCTCCCCAAAAATAACTCCTGTCTACGTGCATGGATGAATGACAGGATGATTCCTAGAGAGGCATGGCAGGGAATAAAGAAGGATAGAGCTGGCATCACAGGCATGGTTTCTCTGTGGGCACCAGCACCCACCTTCTCGGGCACCCATGTGGTTTTCTCCCCCACTAAAAAAGATTGCAATGTGTGCTTGTGTGTGCTTCCTTGTGGTTTTTCTCTTTTCTGCCAGTCTGTCCACAGGCCCAGAGAGACGTAAGTCGTCTTCTTCTTTGGCGACCCCTCGTAGCCGAGTAAGATTGTCTTCCATAAACACGGTTTTAACAGTGAGTCCGTAAGTGACTGCGGAGGCCAATTCTGGATCCACACGTTCTTCCACAGGGGGAGCATTGGTTTCTGGGCAGGAGTTGATCATGGTGTGGATTCACCAAGCGTGCCTTCCTCTTAGCACATTTCTCCCTTGCGTCCTGAGTTCGGGTGTCTTCAAAGAGCCCATGACACCTTTGGTCAAGGCTGTTCTCCAACTGGAGCGCTCGCAGGCCAGTGTTTCCCAGTTGTCGGTGTTTATACTATATATTTTTAGATTTGCCTTGAGACAGTCTTTAAACCTCTTTTGTTGACCACCAGCATTACGCTTTCCATTTGTAAGTTTAGCCTTAGCCTTATCCTCCATTAGATGGTTCCATCAGAGTCAATGGAGTTACATCCAGGATTTATTTATTTTTATAAGCCAAAGATACATTTTATAAGCCCATAAAATGCCTTTCTTTTCAAGGTTGCTAGCCTAAACATTTGCACGGGTTCCTTATTCACTTCTAGACACAGATCAAGAAGGTGGGTTTTAACTTCAGTACATAAGAGGAATACTGCTAATTGCAGTATTTGCACATTACAACCTGATCCGGACGCGGGTGGCGCTGTGGGTAAAACCTCAGTGCCTAGGACTTGCCGATCGTATGGTCGGCGGTTCGAATCCCCGCGGTGGGGTGAGCTCCCGTCATTCGGTCCCAGCTCCTGCCAACCTAGCAGTTCGAAAGCACCCCCGGGTGCAAGTAGATAAATAGGGACCGCTTACTAGCGGGAAGGTAAACGGCGTTCCGTGTGCTGCGCTGGCTCACCAGATGCAGCTTGTCACGCTGGCCACGTGACCCGGAAGTGTCTGCGGACAGCGCTGGCTCCCGGCCTATAGAGTGAGATGAGCGCACAACCCTAGAGTCTGGCAAGACTGGCCCGTACGGGCAGGGGTACCTTTACCTTTACCTTACAACCTGATCACAAGATGCCTTAACGCCCCAAGGAGATCTTGCTTCTCCCATAGTTACAGCCTTGGACTCAGGCAGAAATCTGCACAACATGACCAGTCCAACCAAGTTGATGTTGAAGAATCAGATGTAAGTAGAGCCCTCTGGATGAGGCCAAAGCAACCTGTCCTCACAGTGGCTAACCAGATGCCCGTTATCGTATACCTGCAAGCGGGATTCAAGCACAAGAGAAACTGTCTCCTCCTCCTTGCTGCCTTCAATGGAAGAGGCAGAGCAGAGCCATCCTGGCTAGTAACCATCAGTTGCCCTCTCCTCCTCCATGAATCTGCCTCTTGTGGGAGGGAGTTCCGCAGTTTAATCACATATTATGCAAAGAAGGTACTTTTTAATCTATCTTGAATTACCCAACATTCAGCTTCGTCAGATGTCTATGAGCTCTCGAGGGAGAAAAACTTTTCTCCCTCCCTTTCTCCACGCCACGCGTAATTTTACAAATTTCTATCATGCTTACATTAAAAAATAATAATCAGAAATGCTGGCAAGCGTACCGGGAAATCTAATCAGCCGGAATATCAAAACAACGAGCCACCTACAGCTGGGGAAATCGTACAGCTCTTCCACTGAGTTTTTTAAAGTCAGATTTTCTGATTTCTGAAATAAAGTCGGGGGAAACATGGTTGCGAGAGGTTTCGTCCACAGGTGCAACCTTTTTTATTGTGGCTGTTCTTCCACAGTAAATGACAGAGGAAGCTGCCTTATATCGCCCACACAGGTTGGCAGCATCTCTCCCAAATTTCAAGCAGGCGTCTCTTGAATCTGGGACCTTGCGCTTGCTAGACAGATGATCTGCCACTGAGCATGTATGAGCCGCATCGTTTAGATCAGCTGTTCTGGCAATCGCCGGAGGTGAATCAACTGCATGCCGAGGTCAGGAGAAGAGGCAGCAACCCAGAGGTCACTGGCCTGCTCTTTTCCTGGCCCCCGGTGAGCTTTTCTGCCTGAAACCAGCCTGGAAAGCAACAAACATCTCCAGTTTCAAAGCAAAGGGCTGGCTGGACCTTCAGCTAGACACGCACACCCCTGCGAGGTGGAACAGCAGGCAGGAGAGAAGGAAATCGGAGCAGGGAAATAGGTAGCAGGTGGCGTTGGGAGCAGGAAGACAGCCAAACAGGAAAAGGATTCTTACGCTGTCTCCCCCCATTGCCATTCTTCCACTACAAATCACAGCCACCTGTGACTACATTTCATTGAACAACAATTTTAAAAGCTGGCCCTTTTAAAAAGATGTCCCTCCCGCGAGATTTTCAAGGAAGGAGTAAACTGGATGGAGGATGTTTAGAGACAGCTTTAAACTACCTAGTCCTTGTGGCTCCTTTCCAGCTCTAAATTGGCCTCACAAACAAGGCTTCAAAAGTTACTAGTCCACACCGTTTTTGAGCAGCTTCCTGCCCCAAATACGCAAGACCAAAGAAAGGTAAGTGGTTAACACCATGAAAGCTATTCTCAGCTAACTGTAAGGAGGAGAGATTCCACCTTCAGAAATTATGGAGAGCAGCAGGGGAACTTCAGTCTGGAGGAGAAAAGGGGCCTGAATTTAATAAACAAAGCAAGCAAAAAAGAAAAACCCCACTGAGGCGCTCCCTCTCCTTTAAAAGGCTTGCTTGAGCACACTCTAAAAGCTCTCGAATGCCAAACCCGCAAGGAACAGCGGTACCTTGGTTCTCAAACTTAATCCGTTCCGGAAATCCGTTCCAAAACCAAAGCGTTCCAAAACCAAGGCACACTTTCCCATGGAAAGCAATGCAAAATGGATTAATCCATTCCAGACTTTTAAAAACAACCTCTAAAACAGCAATTTAACATGAATTTTACTATCTAATGAGACCATGGATCCATAAAACGAAAGCAATAAACAATGTACTGCATTCACACAATCAATCAATCAATCAGTAGCTGAACCAAAATAATAATAATAATAATAATAATT